CAAGTACATGGTGGCTTTTGGTCCGCGATTTACCCCCTATCCGCCACCTGGGGTCGCGCCACGTAGCCTCGCCACCAACCGGCTCGAGATCTTTCAGTGAGAGAGGACCCTCAGTGAAAGAGATCCGTGGAGGGGAATCCGGAGTGCCGAACTACGCCAACGATCGAAGATCAGGGACGCTGCCGTTTTCGCCAAGGAATCGAAGATAAGGTGGGCCGGACACGTCATGCGATTTTGCGATGACCGTTGGACCAGAGCGGTTACCGACTGGATCCCTCGGGACGTCAAACGAACACCTGGACGACCGCCGGCCCGATGGTCAGACTTCTTCACGAAAGCTCTGAACGAAAGGAATGAAGGACGTGTCCCTCGAGCGAGGAGGGTCCACTGGACAACTCTTGCACGCGACAGGGACGAATGGAGACGTTGCTGGCGCCCGCTCGAGCAAATTCGATGATCAACGGGACGACAGGTGATACAGGTGATAAGCAGTACATTGCGCAGTAGACAACAGCGGTAGAACTCTTGGCGCTTGTGAAGAATCCTATTTTGGATTTTTGCGCAAAAAGTTCTCCTACCTGGAATGTTTTCGTTGGGACCTCAAATAATGCGACAGCTGAAGGTTTAACTACAGGTGATATTCCTACGTGTACTGATTAATCAAGCAGATTGGCTTCTTGACTCCTTTGCAGCCAAGATGTCGGCTTAGCTCTGCAGTATGTATTATGACGACTAAGCTCCAATCAAGGATTACATCAAAATATCGTAACTGCTCCCTGTTGACTTTATCAAAGGCGATTGCCTTAATCAAGCCGCCATTAAAGTGTGTTGTTTACAGCGTCGCTTAATTTCTAATTTTTTATGCGGTTGACTGATGGCACTCGCCGCATTTGCTTTTCGAATTCAATTTCGACAGTCCGTGTTAGCAACCATTGGGCTACCTTTACGGACGGTGTCGGTAAAGCTTTTTCATCGAAGTTTTCCATCTTGTAAGCATAAAATCATGAGAAGGTTCGTTATATAAGCAGGAAAACACATAAGGACGCGAAACCTGAGGCTTATTTTCATTTGACAGTGTGTTTGGCTGCACCTACAATTCTAAAATGTCACACTTCTTTGTCTGCCAAAAATGGGACAGTGACGAGTGTTGCCGCCAACACATCCCCTGTCTGGAGATCGAAGTCACTCATGATGGAGATCGAACTCATTCATAAACCAGAGCTTAGAGCTAATCTTATAAAAGCCAACCTAGCTCTCCACTTTTGGGGTGATTAATTGACACTCCAACTGTTTGACAATTAATTGACAAGTGCTTTGGTACTGCTAACGAACGACCCATTGTTTTTCTCAATATTTGCTCCGTCTTGTATTATTTTTCATGAAAACAGCTGCTCAAGAACACGTCGATTGTTTTCTACAAGCTTCCAATGACCGCTGAAGTGCCGGTCAGTGAACCACGTCACATTACACACGTGTGAGGTGATTTTTATCAGTGTAGGGTAATAGCATTTAAAGGAGGAATTCACGATTAGAATGGGTCGAAGAAAGGGAATTGACCTAGTTGAGGGACCCACGGACCTCCTGAGGGTGCGAACTGACGCGCAATTCGCATGAAAAATTTGACCTCGGCGACCTATCATGCCTCAAAGTTGGCGGGTCCGGCGATCTCCGCCCACCGACCATCTGATCACTCGCCGCAGTCTATACGTGGCGAGTGATTAGATAGCAGAGAGAGCGTAGTGTTGAAGAGGGCACAGCGATGAGAGTCGCATCAATGCTCAAATCAACGGGCAAGGAAGGGGTCCCATTTCTCGGGTTCTGGGCCGTTTCTCATGGTTCTTCCTTCTTTCGTGTACCACTCACCATCCCTAGGTTAATTTGAAATGGGTTGCTTTTTCAGCGTGAATTCGTCCTTTAAGACTTATCAGGGAAGGCTTTTGAAATTCGGATCCCATGAAAGTTTGGAGAGACCCATTCAAGAGAATAAGGTTAAGAATACTGGTTACAAACATAGAGACCAAAATTGCCACGTGGTTTTTTCACATAATCTGCTAGCAGTCGAAGCTGG